GTACGAAGTCCCGTTTGGTGTGCGGCTGATCAGATGGTGATAACTGGTCAGTACTCCCTGAATCAGCTCCAGATGGCTGGGCGTTTATTGCGAGACAAAGCTGTCTGGGTGTGCTGGTATTGGGTTCGTCGTCGGCGGAAAAGGCACTGAGGTGGAAGAATCCAGATCCATCAGCCAAATGGACGTCGGCGGTCGCCTAGTTAACGAATATTTGGATTAGAAATTACAGAGGAGGATTTCCACTTTTTAGAGACAAGTAAGCTTACTTTTGTGTGATAAAGCAACTGGAAGTCATTTGAAGGATATATGGAGACAGGCGGTGATAATCGAACCGAGAGGGAGGCAGACAAAACTGCAGACTGTTCAGCAGGCCATTCGTGCTTGGCGACCACTTTGACTAACACAATACCCGCAGAGACACCCGGAAGTCGGGGAGTAATGTGAAAGTAGGAACGCCGGCGATAGTTAGCGAGGTCACTACAATATTTCAGGGGGGAGAAGGCACTAGAGAGCTGTCATATTTTATATGGTGAAGCTTAAAGATAACAGAATATGAACTCTTACGAAGTAGCAGACAGGCTCGTTGACAAATGGATAGAGGGTTCCACCTCAGTAACGATTTTTTCAGACTTCGTCCTTCCGGAGGTGTCAGCAGTTGGGGAAAGGTGAGCAACTGTCCTGAGTGAGTCAGTACCGAACAGCTCAAGGCCGGATGGACCCTTGATGATGAGTTCAACGCGAAGCGGTTCTTTGTTTGTGACCAGGATCTTTGATGGTAAAAGTGTGAACGCTTAGACAGAGACAAAATTGTGAGGGGAAGCAGGGTGAAAGGAAGAAAACAAGCTGGCCAACAGATAGGACTCCCTTCACCTAGCCGGCCCAACGTACCGTATCTTCTGCACTCCAAGAAGATCTGTTTGAGAACGGACATGCTGGCAGTCCGGGTGGCAGAACAGGTAAATGCAGCCGTGGAACGAGGTTCAGTGAAGAAGGAACTTCGCAAAGAAGTCTATGTAGTGGTGGAGAGGGAATAAGTTTTAAAAATAATAAGTATTTGGGGAAGATGGAAGAGACAAGGATGGTGCATGCTATATAGTGATCACAAGTATTCCAATGTCTGCTTCAGTCGCCAAGGTTCTAACCTGCTCACTTGTAGAATAGTGATACTGCAATGGTTATAATTGACACCAACCCATGATACTCGAAGCCCGAGACCTGGTGATCAGGAGGCTTGAAGTAGAGTTAATTGAATGATGAAATACTTCAAAATCGAACGCATTTATAGCCTGAGCGATGGAGAATATCCAGAGTCACATGCAAGTGATGTTCTTCGACCCCGAAAGGAACATGCTCGTTTTCCATCGCCTAAATCCGAAGCTCAATGGCAAAAAGCAACCGCTCCGTATTCGTTCCTGCAATCAGGATATAGCGGGAAGGATATGCTCTTATTATTCTCTGGATGCAAAATAAGACTAGATACTTCCAAAAATTGGTAGAGACGCTGCCCAAAGAAGCTAGGGTTTTAGTAGATTCCTTCCGAGTTAATTCAGGTACATCCGACCACAACATTTAACCTCAACTATAATACTGAATGTACAAACAATGCATAAGACGCAAGGGCAACGTGCTCACTTTTGTAGGTTAATTTTTTTATGAGGCAGGGGAGAATTTGAAAGAGGCAAATGGGTTTGGTCCTGCCTTGCCTAAACAACTGTTTCCTCCAAATGGGAACGTTTTGAGGATAGAAAGTTGCGCCAACTAATTTTCTTATTCAATAATGTTCTGTAGCACAAATGAGGCACAGGTACATTTTTGCAAGCGAAAGCCAGCAAGACTGCTAACCGAAATGGAAACCTCTGAGGTAATAGGGATGCTTGCTAACGTAAACACGGATAAAGACATCAGATAAGTGTTTAAATTCTCAAACTCTGAAACGCAGCAACTCTTCTGATTTTTTTATAGAACAAGGCTGAAGATTAGCATCACGCGTCACGCATACAAGTCGAGTGGATTATGCTGCTAACTAGTGGTGTTTCTAAAATTCTTCTGGGCGAATATACGAAAAAGCTATCACAGCCAAATTAAGAAGTGAATGGACAAGAAACTTCCACGAAACCAGATAAGAACAAAGATATAAACGTGAGTACGAGAAGAATTTTGTAGAACGACAGACTTAATTATTGTGGAGAGACTATAACGCTTACGTGATTGGGGCAGTGAGAACAGCCGGTTTTACGTTTGTACGACTGGGCTCGTTACCTACGAGCACATGCACATCGAAGCGACCGGAGGCTTCACATCGCAAAACAAAGGAATAGACAGAGTCATCTTCGCTGGGCACTGGTTCCATCGTTACAGGACGAGGAGCCTGTAGCAGTTTCGGCAGTACAGCATTTTGCGTTTGGGGCGAAGCTGACATTCTGACATCAGCGAAGTAGTGTGACGAGTCGAGCGGCCATGGCAGAGGGCCCCTTATATGCTGAAAGCGTACGCAAAGACATGGAATCAGACAGCCAAGGCGGCAACAAGGTAGCACTTTTAACACTATGACCTACCGAAACACGTAGAGACGAACCGACGGCAACAGCCAGTGTTGATACTTTGCCCAGGAATTTAATATCACGGTAAACTGCGACGGGGAAAAGGGAGGAAGTCCTCGCAGTTTCCTCCAAGGGACCAACATACGAAGCCTCGAGTTCAGTAAACCCCTCACGAAGACCAATTACCCGAAAGAAGGCGCAGGGTAGTGGGTCTGACAGGTTAGCAGTCGGTGGGGGGTATAAAAAGCCTAAAGAGATAAATTTCTTCAATAATTCTGACGCAAAAGGTTATGTCTTAACCCTCAACCTATGGTTATTCTGAGAAAACATGTCCTAATGTCTGGTGTTGGGAATCACGAATAGATTACCACCTACAAGGCCCCAAAGAGGCTTCAGGCAAACTGATTGAGGCAGCAGCACGTCATATGCAGCTGACTGGAAATGACAAAAAGGCTGAAACAACTTATGTTCGAGTTTCGCGCACTTTTGTTTTCGCTATTCTGATAAAGGACCGCCAAATTTCTAAAGGCAGAAGGTAGCGGGAAAAATTAGTAACCAGATTGCAGGTTAGTGAAAGATACGGCAGCTTCATGACAATAGAAAATTTCCTCGACACTGGCATCAGCGATACTAGCTATAACTTACAGATTTTGTCAGGACAGCGTATGTACCTGACGCCCACCCAGAAATAAACCACGAGCACTGACCTCGATAGAGAATGGTTCAAGTTCCTATGTTACCCATTGAATATGACAAGGGAGATGGTAAAACAACGTTTGATGAGGTTCAATGGTTTGAAAGTCTGGGATTTGGACGTTAGTACACCCCCGTCTTTAGTATGAAAACTTACGGTGACTTATACAATAATGAACGTGTAAAAGGTTTTCCGCGGTCGCGCAAGATAACAGGAAAAAAAGCTTCCATCTGAAAATCCAACATAAGACCATAGTTTAAACAGTATATATGGGAATAAAATGCATGTTGACGAAGAATGTATGTTTCTCATTTGACTGCAAGAAAGAAGACGATCAGCAATCGACATTTCTGAACCGTATAACGGTGCCAAAAGTTATCAGGTCCCAAGTTAATTAACATAATACTGACTGCCTGCACGTTTTGGCCCTTTCTCGTCAGCAAGCCCAACAAGATAGTTTCATCCTATCATGCATACTGATAAAGGGAGATTATAAGGTAGTTATTATTCCTCTCGTTACCCAATTTTGGAGATGAGAACTTTAAGCCGAAAGTATGCAAAAAACCAGTGACGGTGAAGCGGTTTAGTTCTTAGCGGATGGGCCCTGCACAATCGCAACTTCTATCCTATGAGCGCTAGGGCACAAATCACCAA